CGTATCTTGTAGAATATATATAGGGAGAGAGAGGTAGAAAGAAACACTTTAACATAATAATCCATTTCACATAGATGCTTTCTATAATTAATTTCCATGCAATTCTCATACCATTACAATTATACATTGAATAATAGCAAATCCTTATTTATATCTTCTATCATTGGACAATTTAACCAATCATTCATCAATCAACTGTGACCATATTCATTCAAAGTGCTTTCACATTGGTTGCTATTTTTTTTTATACTATTTTCAGAATTAAAAAGAACGTATAAAAAAAAGACTTAGAACTTAGTTGTATAAGCTGAAAAATGTTTATCTGTTAAATTTATAATTATAACTGTATTATGTCAGATTAATACCAACTCACTAGTCATTTATTATTTAAAGGCTTTTGTGTTGATCATTAGGTTTTTATTTTTGACGAAAAGAGAAAAACACTACGACTAACCATGGATAATTTCACGTTTGATTAAAAATAAATCACTTCAGTTTTTTCTTTATCGATTTTTCAATGCCTTAGTTCACTGTAACTATATTAATAATATCCTATTTTAATTTCATTTATTAGTATTATTTTTTTGCACAATTTTGTTGACTGTATTTGTCTAAAACAGTCAGTGACAATGTAGAACTTCGTACGTACATACATCAGTTCAAGTTGCCATACCTCATTAGCTCAGAGACGCAATTATCAATTTAAATCCCATTTTAGTAGAGATAGTAGAAGTATTTGTGGCAATAAAAGGATTAGGGTTCGAAGAAATAAGTTAGAAAGTATAATTCAGTGAGATAAATTAAGACAGAAAAAGATAGAAGTGGTGAGGAATGCATAAGGTTAGAATTTCAGGGAACACAAAGAGTGGATGCACTTGCGCCATTGCAGACGATTTTGAGCCATAGCATTCAAGGACTATTACCATCGGTTACTATCATCTCGCGGACCCCAACCAGGTAGTCTGCACTTACCAACATGATTCAATCCAGTTGCCAGTGACTTCATGGATTTCTATCATGTTTTGGTTTGGCCGCCCGTAGCTTTCTTCCAGTCGGTGACTGGGAATACGTTACACATGTCCCAACCACCTCTAAATTTTTAGGATTTTAACTTTTTTTACTGTCTAGGCTGAAATACTTTATTTCATTAGCATCAATCCTACCACTGAATTTTGTGAGGATTGAAATATTGCGATAACTAACTAATGCCGTAGTAATTATTTACCCAGGGAATTCATTTCTATGTACAGCAGTTAATTTGCCTACTCAGTTTACTAGGTTTATCAGTCGAATATGGCTTAAAACTGTGAAACGATACATAGTTTTATTGTTTGATTCTATAATATAATTTAAATGTTAAGTTTAGTTTGATTCGTCTAATTTCTTACTTGTATTTATTTAGTACATTACGCCTTTCGAAGTATTGATAATAATCACAAGATAAATTTCCTCGTCTCTCACTCTATTAAAGAAAATTTTTGTTCTGCGACGAATTTCTGTTAATATCTACTGTAAAAATAGTTTAGCTAAGTGATCACTTCACTTATCTTAATAGTCTTACTAGCCTTGTTAGGTTATGACTAACAACATATGGATTGAAATTAAAGTTCCGTTTTAGCGTTCACCGAATTACTGTACCTGTGGCGCAGACAAAATGTCCACCTCTATAATAATAGGAGGAAATATTACCGGCCAGTGTACTTTGAATTACTTTATACAGCTATGAAAAATTTTCTCGAGCCCACATGGCTTGTTCCAGTCTTTGAACAGATTTGTTAATCCATTCACGTGTCTTTTGACCTTGTCAATTATTCGCTTGAAATCTTGTTTGTTTTTCTGAGTACCTATGTGTTTTACTTGCTTCGCTTGTCAAATGTCTAGCTTACTTTTAACTGACTATGATTACCTTGTCATGCTCACCAACTGGAGTTGATTCACTCACTTTCACAATTTTCATACTCATGTCTGTCTGCATGAACGATTGTGTGAAATAAACTCATCTAACAGAATCCGCATTCGGCCTCTTATTACTACCGTCTTACAAACAGCATTAACCGAAGTGTAATGTCTGGAACATCAAAGGAAAGACTTATTTCACTGCGCATTCAAATATTCGTCTAAATCGGAGTCTAATTCCGGGCCACTAAATCACTAATGTCTCATTGTAGATCTCTTCGAGCTTCTGTTAGCATGTAATAGAACCACCAACCATTTTTTTTAATAAGCATAGCTTTTTAAATCTCAATGTTCATATATATACTGCAGGAATTTCGATTTACCACTTTAATGAGGAATATTATTAGTATTCATTCGCCTCTTGTATTATGTCTTATTGAGGCAACTTCCCAATGACCACATGAATACAATCGATAATCAGTTGAATACTAATTTTACATATAAGAAATATTTTCAAGTATAGCAAGCCTGTTAAACTTGAATTAACATTTTTTTTACCTTATAAGTAATTTTATAGGTTCCAAAAAGAACATTTAATACTATAATTTCATGTTTTCCATGTCCGCCTCGTGCTTACCTCTGATAATCTCTGCATTGTACATTCATCTAAGCGATCGATAATTCAATCATATTACCATTTTTACCTCGATTTAAGATACAGACACACACACATACATACATACATTGTATTTGAGTTTTTCATACTATTCTATTCTGCATACGTCATGCTTTTCGAATAAAACTTTTTTTTTCAATAACGTTTGTTTGTTTCGGCATGATATAATGATTGTTAATATTAATACTATTATTCTTGTTATTAATCGAGACGTTTCTCACATATATTACAACTAGTATGTTGTGTTTTTGTTGATGCTTATTTTTT